GTCTAGTGACTTCATTGACTTGACTTGACTTGACTTGAAGTCTTCCGTGGAAATGCTTACTGCAAAACTCCAAAGTGACAATGACACATATTCATGCACATCTCAAATTTGAAAAATTATTATTTGCTCATCCACACATTTCATAATCAATTGCACTGTCATCAATTTTAGCAAACAATTACTATTGAAGTTAAATTGATTAGATAATGTAATCAATAAACTTGTCAGTGAAAACAAAAGTTAGTTAGCATATAACCACTATGCTTTTTTAGATTTTGATTTCATAATATGAAAATTGAAAAAAGATCACAGAGAAATATATATATATATATATATATATATATTAGACTCAACTAAGTAGCACCATATAAGAATTTTATCAGAATTATATTTGAACATTATATACATGTGAAAAGAAGAAATGAAGATGGAATTACCGACTTTTTACCACATGGAAGTTTTTTTTAAGTAATGCTTTCCAATTGCCTGAGTATTGTCATTTTCCTGTTTTCGAGGGTAGTCACAAGACATTGAAGACTTGACTTACAACACTAACATTAGCATAAAAAAAATTAAAAAATAAAATAAGTTTGGAAGATACAAGAACACTATGAAATGTAATACAGATGGATCAGTGTACTTATATATATATGCAACCACAGTTAACAATATTCAACTTTTTATTATAATCATTTAGCAAATTATGTAGAATTATACATTTCATTAAATTGTAGATAAATAGAATTTGAAAATACAAGCTTTGGGTCAAATGATTTAAAATAGATTTTTTTTTTTTAATTTTGGAGTGGGAAATGAATTACTAAGGTAGTTATAGGTATGGTCATATAATTGAATTGCAAATGAAACCAATTTTTATTTATCCATATGAAATGCAAGCTTTTAGTAACTAGGGTGTTAAGTATTGAGAGACATGGAATATTTTTGGATGAAAAGAATCTAAAAATAAGTTCTTCTAAATATAGAAATTAATTGCCCTTTCAAAACTATAAGGGAACCTTAATTTGGACTCGCGCCTTTTTTTTCTTTACTTTTTAAAATTTCATTTTAAAAGAAAGGCACAAAGAAAGTTGTAAAATTATTTGGTACTCAAATATATATATGTATAACTAGGAGTCCCAGGCACATAAAGGAAAATAAAAATTTTAAGAATTTGATGAGAAATAATAAATAAAAACAAAATGAAAATAGGACCACTTAGGATAACTCTCTGTCTCTCTCTCTCTCTATATATATATTTCGTTGACTAGAAAAGTATAATTTGGGCCCATTTGGAAATGAAGATGCTTAAACCACTCACAAAAATTTAATCAACCAGAGAACTTTGTCTACCAATCACCAATTTCACAAAAAATAACTAGGTGTTGTTAATTCACTAATTAAGGGGCTTCTAGGGCATTCCTCAATAGTTTAATTGGTAGAGAGTATAATTGCCTAAACAAGTGTGTTTGTGTTATAATCTCCCATCTTCCTAATTTGTTAGGAAAAATAAAAATAATTAAGGGGCTTCTAATTTTGGTTCCCAAAACTAATTTACACTGAACGAGGAGATGACCTTAATAAGGCCCGTTGTTTAATTGATTGCCATATTTTAAAAAAATTTATTTCTTGCTGAAAAGAAAAATTAAAAATAATAATAGTAGTTAATTTGGTTCTTCCATATGAATATTTCTAGCTCTGCGTACTAGCATGTCATTGCATACTAACATGTCGTTTCAAAAATTACGATAAACAAATTTAAAGCTAAATTGCATAATTCTAAAGTGAAGCTACAAGTCGAGTAAAGCTCAGATTTTTACATGCGGACGAGATCGACTGATATTTTATGAGACTTCACCGCCAAAAACTTACCAATCGAACCAATCACTTCGAATTGAAAACAAAAAATAAAAAAATAAAAAGTTTCATTTTGATTTTAGGACTTATTAGGTATTGGATACTTGAAGAAAGCTTCTTATAAAAATTTAATCAGTTATGCATATTACTAAATACATACACCATAATATTTTATATGAGGCTCGAAGTCATAGCACCTTAGTCTATATTTTGTTGGTGTCAAGATTGAAATTTTTGATCAATACTTTTGGACTACTTATTACTTAATTGGGAGCCTTTCATTCATAAAGAGATTCATTTAATACTTTTGATCCACTTGAATGAGAAATTATTGTATGGTCAAAGGTTAATCGACCAACCATATGATGATAAATAAATTAAAATGCAATCGAGCTTTATATGTGACCTTGTAATTGACCACGCTAATAGTCTGTAACCATGTAATAATGGACCGACATGGATGGTAATGCTTGATGACTTGACTTCGAAAGCCACCGAACGTGACTATTACGGGGGAGTCCATGACGACAAGATATGAGATTTCATTTTCTTGCCATCCATCTATCATGATAAAATTATAAAGAATAAAAACTAAGTTAAAATAACACTAACAATAACATTTTAAAAAAGTAAATTACACTAACCTTCTTCAAATTTGAACAGTTATTTTTTTATTCAATCAAACAAAATGAGAGAAAAGTTTATTAAATTACTTTTTTAATTAAAATTTAATTTTATCCATCTAATTGTTTTATGGAATGTCCATCTCATATATATATATATATACACACACGCATATTGTATAAAATAAAAAATATAATATAAATAATACAATAATAGTATATATAATATATAAGATTTAAACTTATATGTAATTGCAGTCATTACAATGAATTTTTTTAAAACAAAAATTTTAAATTCTTTCTTTAATTAAAAAGTATAGTAATGCATATAACAAAAATATAGGAGTTCAAATATTATTTTTCAAGAAGGAACAAAAAAAAAATGAAAAAACTAAATTCACACATTTTGGGGAAAAAATGTTCTTAATTCATAACATGGAAATGTCTAGTCCATGCAAAGATGTTTGTGTTTGTAGCCATGAAGGAAACCTCGGACCCATCTTGCAAGAGCTCGTATAAAGATGAAGTAGTAGAAAAGGAGGAACCCAATTGGAGCTCATGTTGAAGAAGATAGAGTTTGAAGACATTTCTAACCCTCAATTTTGAGTGTTTGGCAAAATTCACCTTGGAAACAATGCCTCCTAAGGAATTATGACTCGCGTATATATAATAAATAAAAACAAAAAACAATCAAATGCATTCAAAATCTAGTTTTCTTACGCGCGAATTCATCTTAAGTTAAGATATCAATGAATTAAATTAGATTTCAATAAATATTTATTTTTAAATTATCACTTAAAAAATTCAACACTTAAAATTCAACTATTAAACTTTTCAATTTTAAATGAATAAAAAATATAATTTAGTGTCTGAAACACACAAAGGAAAAGAAATACTCCGTAGCAAATAAAAGCTAAGCCAAAAAAAAAAAAATACTGACAAAGTTGAAGCAAGTATAATCAGAAACCCTTGATCTAATTAACCATAATATAGGTAAGACCCAAAATTAGAGCAGGTCAGTCTTGATTGAAGGTTGAGTTCCATATTTTCCCAGCTATCAAATGTATTCAAAATTCTTAATTTTGACTAGCAATGCTTGATGAGCACCAAGAACAATATTTTTGGAAGAACTAAAAAATACTTCTTCTTTTTTATTTTTAAGTTTTTTTATTTTTATTATTTTTTTTATTTTTTGTGCCTACAACAGTCAATTGCTTTCATTGACTAGAATTTGCACTTGAAATGGGCCCATGTGGAAAGGAAAGGAAGATCAATTTTGACTGGGAACAGTTTCCTCAATTCATACCCTTACCTTTCCAATTGAAAAACTTTGTCCAACAATCACCAATTTTTTTTATTAAAAAAAATATTTATTCCTAATTCCTTAATTAATGGGCTCCTAATTTTGTATATCCCAAACTGATTTTTTCTATTTTATTAAAATTATTTTGCTCATCTTCAAAAAAATCTTACACTAATTCTGGTGAAGCTCCAAATATATCTTGCTTGTAGGAAAACAAAATTAAATTTCTCTCTATCAATTAATCTTAAATAATTGCATTATTTGAATGGAATACTCCTACTTGTCGAAAAGTGAAACTTAATGGAAAGAAGACACGCGTTAACCTTTCTTTTTCTAAATTCAGGTCCGGCAACTATTATTTTTCTAAGAAATAACATTTATAATGCTCTTAAAAAGTCTTTAGTTCTACACCTTTAATTTTGAAAAAAGAGGAAGTGTCACTAAACCATATGTTTTGGTGAATCACAACTACTTTAATTGAATATAGAGACTTGAATCATTTACCTTCCTCACATACTTATTATTATCTCAATAAATGCTTGAACCTTTAAATAATGTCCGAGGAGGAGACCCGTCTTTGTTACATTCTTTAAACTGATGTTTAAACTTTAGTAAATTTATTTTACTTGTGGAATAATAAAATCAAAGGCATCCCTCAAATAATCTAAAGTGATTGCGTTATTTTCTAAATTCAGGTTCCATAATCATTTGTAAATAATAGGGTGAATTTGAATGCAATTGAGGATAGTAAGTAGTAACTAATCCAAGAGAAGCGCAATGCGGGTGCTCATTATCATCTGCTCACAAATTAATGAAAGAAAAAAGGATCTGAAATGTGTAGTTCGAACTAGCCTTTGATCCAAGTACTCATTCATTTATGCATGATTAGGCACTAAACATGTTCGGGTTTAAAACATATAGTTGATTCATAAAAACAATCAATGTTTATGGATTGCACTGAAACTATAGTTCTTTTATGTTTATTTCTAATTTTTTTATTTAGTGAGCAAATAAGTCTTTTAGAGAGATTTGAATTCCCACATTTTGTTACGAAAGGATTGGTAAATCACAGTTGAAATGCCCAAATTAATATCAGCCAAAATGAAAGATTTATAGCACTCGAAAAGACAAGTTCTATATGATGTTTTCAGTCACACTCAAAGTACATTCAAGCACATAACACTAGCAATGCTTCAGGAACACCGTTACCAACGAGACAGTTCTTTTAGCAACCCAACAAAAAATAATTATAGTACAACAATTATTTCACATAGAATATTGAGTATAGCCTAACTTATTTATGCATAAATGAGTAGGCAATAACTGTTTTTCCCCATAGGAAGCAAATTTTATTACACCCAAATTACCTCAACATAAAAGAAAAACCAAATACACAACAAACCAAAACACCAACAAAGCAAACCAAACCACACCAACAGCAGATCCAACAGCCAGATAGTCTGCAGCCTGAACGTACTATGTGAAAATCTAGCTCCGAATTGATCCAAAATGTCCTGCACAGAATTATTCATTGTATCAGCCATAAAATATAATTAACAATATTCGTTAATCGAGATTTTCAATCAAATAAAATCTGATTTCTGTTCAACCACAATCTCCATATGAATGAGGCATAGACCTACTGACAAATTCGGTTCTTCTTAGTTTCCTGAGAAAAACTGAGAACTAAACTAGTCCACCAATTTCTCTCAAAGGAATTTATACTATTAAACCGTAATTTAAAAAGGCTAGCAAAGTCCAACCACAACTTTTTACGAAACTCACATTGAAAAAAGAAAAAAAGAAAAAAGTCCTCTCTTATTGATTGCAATGGCTCTTGCATTAAATTAAAGAGGAGTATAAGTAAAATTAAACACACATAAACCGAAAGTTCATGGTCTTTGTATGTGGCATATTTTTTTGTAACGCGAATTTGGATATGGCTGTGGACAAAGAGTGTAAGCTGAAGTTTTTGGAATTAATAGCATCACATCATATTTGAAATCCTTTAAAAAAATAAAAACACCTTCAAATAAAATTTTCAAACCAATGAGTTAGAAGTTAGCAAGTCAATGTGACTTGATAGAGTTGCATTTGTTCTTTCTAATAAATGAAATTTTAAATAGACAACATTTATATAATGTTTGGACAAGCGAAATCGGCCTAGGAATAAGGTATATTGCTTGAATATGTAAAATCGTGATTTCTAGCACGTAGACTATCGATCTATAACCTATTCCAAGGAGTTCAAGAACAAACTTTTCTCGTTCTATCTTCTCCTTTGATATTTTTGTTGCATTAGTGACACATGTTAGGGGAATAGCATATGAAAATGCAAGCTCCATATTAGTTTTTGTTTGCAAAGTGAAACTCGTACCATTTTAATATGCAGAAAAACAAGATTGCTGTATTGCAGATTATTTAGATTATGTAGTAGAAACAACAATAATGTTGTACTGCACTAATAGAATGTATCAGCATTATATAGGATAAGTAATAACTCTATAACTATGCATTTTGTAGAGCATAAATTACTTTAAAAAATTATGTATGGCAGTTACCAAGTGTACAGTATATTAATAAATAGATAAACAGCGCGAATAGAGTAGTAAAAATAAAAAATTGAAAGGAAAGAAATGTGGAAGAAAAACCTTGTAGAAGATGATGACAATCTTCATGTATCATTAGATCTCTAGAACTTCCTGCGGAGCCAGTTCACCTTTAGCAATATAGCCAAGTAGATCCGGTCTTTCATGTCATCAAGAAGCTGAAAATAAGCATGCCTCCATGTCCTTTTGAGGATAAGAGTACCACAAACAACCCAAAATCCAACCACAAATCCCGGACCCACGCCAATATAAAACCATACCATTTCATACTCTTCTTCCTCTTTCTCCATTGATGTCACACCTCGACCTTGAGATGATTCTTCTCTTGTGCAATTGTTGTTGAGAGGGGCTCCACAAAGTTCAGAATTTCCAATGTAGCTAGTTGCATTAAAACTCTGAAGTTGGGTGCTTAAAGGAATTCTTCCAGAGAAGTTGTTATATGACAAGTCCAAGTAATTGATAAATGTCAAATTCGACATGCTTTGTGGAATTTCATTCGAAAGATGATTTCTTGAGAGATCAAGGGATTCTAACATTGCCATGCCTCCAATATTCTCGGGTACCTTTCCTGTAATTTGATTACGAGACAAGTTTAAAAATCGCAACGCGTGAAGACTAAAAAACTCTTCTGGGATCGAACCGGATATGTTATTACTTGAGAGATCTATGCTCCTAACAAGTCCAAGGATATTCTTATACTCTGATTCCCTCCCTTTTGTCACCAAAGAGAGAATATCTTTGTAGTATTCAATACTATCATGGGAATACAGGACTACATTTTCAAATGATTGTTGATTTGAAGAATCCGTTGTAATCATGGCACTGATATTTTTCAGACATTTTGGTATAGGTCCTGATAAGTTGTTATTCCCAAGATCGAGGATTATAAGATTAGAAAGTTGGCATATTTGTGTCGATATATTGCCGATAAATTTATTCGATCTTAAGCTAAGAATCTCCAATTGCAACATATCTCCAATCCAACTTGGAATGAGTCCGAGAAATTCATTTCCACCTAAATTAATGAGACTCAAAAAGGGGCAGCTTCGCAATGATATAGGTATTTCTCCAACGAAGTTATTATTATGCAATTGCAATGATCGGAGCCACCACAGCGAACCCATTGAGTTAGGAATTTTACCAGATAGGTTGTTCCTCCCCAAGTTTATATTGGCCAGATTTTGCCATTGCATCGAGCAATGAGAGAGTTCTCCAGATAAAATATTATTTGATAGATCCAGAACCTGTAACAAACTTTCTCCATTCATCTCTTGGCACAAGAATGGGGAAATGGGTCCGGAGAAAGAATTGTTTGCAAGGTTCAACAATTGAACATTTGGAGACAAACGTGGCAACTTACCCTCGAAACGGTTAGAAGTCATTTGGACAACACTAGAATTTAGCAACACATTCGACATGTCTCCATTTATCTGGTTGTTGGAGAGATTAATATACTCAATACGTGAAACCCATTTCCACAACCATTCTGGAGCTGTGCTTGAAATTCCCGACTGAGAAATGTCCAATGCATACAAAGATGTTTGTGTTTGCAGCCACAATGGAAACCTTGGACCCATTTTGCAGGAACTCATATCAAGTACGTCAAGTTGAAAAGGAGGAACCCAATTGGAGCTCATGCTGAAGAGCAGAGAGTTTGACCACGTATACAATTTCTTCAATTTTGACAGTTTGGCAAAACTGGCTTCGGAAACAATGCCTGCTAAGGAATTGTATCCTACATGTAGTTCCTCTAGATTTGAGAGGAACCCCATACTGTTTGGCAAAGTGCCATTCAATTTATTATCAGAAAGATCTAATAATCTCAAGGACGATAAGTTTCCAATAGATGCTGGAATGGGACCATACAATGAATTCCAATAAAGTGAGAGAAATTCAAGATGTTTCAGTTGCCCAAGATCGTCTGGGATTTGGCCATATAGGGAATTAGAAGATAGATCAAGAGACATAAGGCTACGAGTGTGATTACTCAACAGGACTTGTATCTTGCAATTGAAATGGTTTTCCGAAAGATCAAGGACTTTAAGAGACGTGAAATTAACAAAAGCGAGAGGGGGAATCATTTTCTCAAGTAGGCAGCCAGACAAATGTAGTTGTGAAAGGGAAGGAAGCATGCTCACCTCTTGAACCCAATTGATTGCTCTGTGAAGGTCGACCCTGCTCATGTCAAGGTATTCCAAGGAATGAAGACCAGCAATCCAACTAAGGTCATCAACAAAAAGCTGATCATCTCTTAGATCGAGATAACGAAGGCTCGAGAGGTTTCCAAGTGCATGAGGAATCAGCCCTTCGATTCTGCAGTGGGACAAGTGTAGTTCTGAAAGGGAAAGAAGCTTGCTAATGGATTGATGCCAAGTAGCTGCCTTGTGAAGGTCGATCCAACTCATGCCAAGGTACTCCAAGGAATGAAGACGAGCAATCCAACTAAGATCATCAACATAAAGTCCATAATTATCGCTTAGATCGAGAATACGAAGGCTCGAGAGGTTCCCAAGCTGATGAGGAATCAACCCCTCAAAATAACCATAAGAGAGGTTGAGATATCTCAAACTTGGCATAGAACCGAAGAAACTTGGAATAGAACCACTGAAATTGTTAAAGCTCAAGTCCAAGTAACTCAGAGATTCTAATTCCACCAAAGAGGGACTAATCTTTCCACCCAACTGCTGCGTCTGATTGGAGAGGTGAAGGTGGATGACTCGACCAGTAAGATTGTTGCAGCGGACTCCACTCCAAGTACAACAATCTTGTTGGAGTGGAGACCATGAGGATAGCAGCATGTTGGAAGGATCCCAAGTGAGACCTTGTTTGAAGTTGAGAAGAGCTGTTTTCTCCTTTTCACTGCAAACTACATGTGGATGGAGAGTAGGAATACCATCACATAATAATAATAAGGCAGTTGAGGCTAATAGCAGCCAAAGCAAGAGAAGCACTATGCGACTGCTCATCATCAATTCTATCTGATTACCAAATATATGATATCAAATTAGATGACGATATATGTAAAAGAAAACTAGGACATTATATATCCATACGGAGTACTATATATCTCTTCATTTGAGGGTCTTTTAGCAATAGGTGGGGCCCATGTAAAAATGAATATCAACTAAGCACCACAAACTTCCCTGCCACAATAATGGATCTATCCATTCTTGTCATAAGTTTGACTTGGGATACCGTCCACTCATTTCATTTTCCACACCAACTGCAATGCAAAACCGAGTCTTACAATAACAAAAATTAAACATGGAATTTTTTATTGTTTTGAGCTTCCACTTGCATGAGTAGTGTCCTTTCTCTGTTTTTAAGGCTGAGAATTTTCACAGGACTTTGAAAACTTGACTTACAACATCAATATTAGCATAAAAAAAATATATTAAATAATATATATATAACTGGTAGTTCAGGCACAGAGAAAACTAAAAATCTGAAGAATTTAATAAAAAATAACAAATAAAAACAAAACAAAAATAGACAAGTCTATATATAAATATATTTCATTGCCAATTTGAAAATGAAGATCACTTAAACCACCCATCAAGCTTTAATCAACCAGAAAACTATAACCAATCCCTTGTAGTTGAAAATAAAAAATAAAAAGTTACATTTTGATTTCAAGACTTGTTAGATGTTGAATACTTAAAGAAAATATCTTATGAAACGTATTCAAGTCTTCAAGAGAATTTCACACCAATGTGCACACACACTCTCCTTATAAGAATCTATTATATTTATAACAAACACAATTGATTTTTTGCACAATTGATTTTTTGATTTCAAGAATTGATAGGTTTTTGGATACTTAAAGAAAATATCTTGTGGCAATGTATTCAAGTCTTCAAGAGAAATTGGCAAGAACGTGCATAGACACTCCCCTTATAAGAATCTATTATCTTCATAACAAGCACAATTGATTTTTTACCCAAAAAAAAAAATTATTACTATTTGTTTTTGTTTTGGCACGAAAGCATATAAGTACAAAATTACATACACCACAATATTCTGCACGAGGCTCGAAGTCATACACACACCACAATATTCTCCATGAGGTTGGAAGTCATACCACCTTAGCTCATACGCTGGTGTCGGTAAAGAAACTCTTATTTTATACTTTTGGACTAGTTAAGTTATAATTTGACTTGGAATCTTCAACTTGGTAAAAGATTAATTTAATATTTTTGACCCATCCATGTGAGAGAAATAATTAGATAGTTCTATACCATTAATACTTGGTGGACCAATGAAATTCAGACCATCAGATTGAAAAAATAGCCGCACAAAAGTGTATTAATATATTACCTTAGCTCATACATTGGTGTCGATAAAGAAACTCTTATTTAATACTTTTGGACCAGTTAAGTTATAATTTAACTTGGAATCTTCAACTTGGAAAAAAATTAATTTAATACTTTCAACCCATCCACGTGAGAGAAATAATTAGATGGTTCTAAATCATTAATACTTGGTAAACCAATAAAATTCATACCATCCTATTATAAAAATAGTCACACAAAAGTGTATTAATATATTACAAAAAAAAATTAAAAATTAAAAATTAAAAAATAATAATAATAAGTATCAAATAGACCAAAATTATATAATAATTTATCCCCATGTGGCCATGTCCAATGACTTCATTGGACAATTCCAATGTGACAATGACACATACCGTGGAAAGATTTATTGTATAATTCCAAAGTGACAATATTATGCATGAGGCTCAAAGTCATACACACACCCTAATATTCTACATGAGGTTAGAAGTCATACTACCTTAGCTCATACGTTGGTATTAATACAGAAACTCTTATTTAATATTTTTGGACCAGTTAAGTTATAATTTGACGTGGAATCTTCAATTTGAAAAAAGATTAATTTAATACTTTCGATCCATCCACACAAGAGAAAATGATTAGATAGTTCTAAATCATTAATACTTAATGGACCAATGAAATTCAGACCATCCGATTAAAAAAAAATAACCACACAAAAGTATATTAATATATTATAAAAAATAATAATAAAAAAAATTAATATCAAATAAACCAAAACTATATAATAATTTATCCCCGTGGCCAATGACTTCATTGCACAATTCCAAAGTGACAATGACACATACTGTGGAAAGATTTATTGCATAATTCCAAAGTGACAATGACACATGTTGATGCACATCTGAAATTCAAAAAATTATTATATGCTCCTTAACACCTTTCATAATCAACTGCACCACTCATCAATTTTAGAGAGCAATTACCATTGAAGTTAAATTGATAGATAATGTAATCAATAAACTTCTTGGTAAAAACAAAAATTTGTTAGCATAGAGCCACTACGTTTATTTTATTTTGATTTTGATTTCATTAAATATGAAAATTTGAGAAGAACAAAGAGAAATATATATATATATATATATATATATATATATATATTAAACTCAACTAAGTAGCACCATATGAGAAATTTATCAGAATTATATTTGAGCATTATATACATATGAAAAGAAGAAATGAATATAAGAAGTACCAACTTTTTACCACATGGAAATCTTTTTATTTTTTATTTTTTTAGTAATGCTTTCCACTTGCCTGAGTAGTGTCGTTTTCCTGTTTTTGAGGTTGAGAATGCTTGCAAGACTTTGAAAACTTGACTTACAACGCCAACATTAGCATAAAAAATAATAAATAAAGATAATAAAATGTAATACAGATGATTCAGGTACTTAATTATATATGGATGCAACCACAATTAACTATATTCAACTTTTTTTTCTTATAATCATTTAAGTTAAAAATCTGTTTGTATAACTTTTTTTCTTATTATCTTTTTTTGCATTATTTATTATGATTATTATTATTATTATTATTTTCAGAGGAGATGTTTTGTAAACTGTAAATTACACATTACTAACTTCAGTGATTAATTAGCAATTTTGAAAACTTGAAGGAGCTGAACTTGTAAAATTTGAATTCGATAGTAATTAAACACAAATTCATATATATTATGTTTAAAAACGTCTTTCACTTATCATAATCAATATTAGTGATAAACATAATTACTAAAATATGCAATGGGATAAAGGGGGGAAAGTGTAATGTAATCCCACACGCACTGCTATAATATAATTTTTTGTAACAAGCACGACTAAAAAATTCGGCATAAAAAAGGAAAATGGCAAATCATGCATACGGAAAAGAGTATGATACAAATGCTAATTAAAAAACAAGATATAAAAATCAAGTGTTGTACTAGATTCGAGTGTCCACATTGCATGTCCGAAAAAAAAAAAAAAATTACTAAATGAGCTATCTCTAACCACATGAGAAATATGTCTTCTTCAACAAACTTAAATTAAAATCTAGCAAATGAGCTATCTTCGACAACATGTCTAGTACCCTTTCAAAATTCATCATCGAGCAGTTCAATGTTGCACACATAAAAGAACAGCTTTGCACACAGTGGATGAAGTACAAACAGAAAAGAGAATTTAAACAAATATGGACAGCCAAAATGGACCTCCGTGACATTATAAAGCAACTTGCAAGTAATATCAATGTTGCAAACAGTGGATGAAGTACAAACAGAAAAGAAACCCTAAACTCAGGGCAGAGGACTATGAACTTCTACATTCTTCTTGTCATCCTTTTATTCCCGAACTGCTGACACTATACAAGGAAGGATATTTGTCAATTTCAGCAATAAATCAGGAAGATACGGAGGGCGAGAATTGGAGTCTGTTATTTTTGCTAAAGGGCACCAAGATGCTTCTCCCTAAAAGGACCAATATCCTTCCTTGTATTTGAGCCAATGATTTCTATCTTATTTAAGCACAAAAAATTTATTTTTCTCTTGGGATGCAATTGAGCATGGAAAATAGACCGAAGTCAAAGGATGAGAATGAATAGCTGAATCAAAATCGGATGGTTTATTAACAGAGGGCTGACGGTACACATAAACTTTGATTTTCTGCTTTCAGATTTGATGCAGAGACAACCCTCAAGCTCCTAAATAACTCCGAAAGAAGAAATTAGCAATACTAGGAGAAAAATAATAAGTTTTGAAGGGTCCAATAGGGCTTTAGGGAGCATTCAATAACAAACTTTCTGAGTTCATTCTCACGCTAAAATGAAAATTTGGCCAAGAGAATCAGGAACCAGATGTTCAAACAAAGATTAATATGATATAGTTATCTTGTAAATGGCAGTACGGCTATAACAAAATGTCTAATCATCAGCAGATGCAAAGTGGCAGACCTGCTTAAGGTTATGGTAGCAGAGAAAATGAAGCTTACATACCACCATTACGTATCTCGAAGATTCCAACTGAAAATTTACCTGCTCCAAGGCTTGAACAGAAAGCTGCTTAATCCAGGATCAAATGAATCAAGCAGCAGAGCTACAATGACCAATTAAAAGTGGCTAGCACATTCATCGACACAGTGCTCTTCATCACTTTTGATTTCTCAATGGTGGTTTTGAGGAAGATCTTATCATCTGCAAGCAAGAAGTGAAAAACAAATTGTATTATTCGCTCTCTCATTTTTTTTTACCCTTTCCCCATCCCAGTTTCCAATTGCCTCTAACGGCTAGAAGGACAAAAGGCCTTTCAGCAATCAACTTAAAGTCACCACAAGCCAACTTGATTTTTTTAGCATTGTTATTACAAAGAAGACCAGCAGTAATTTTGGCATGTGATACAGAGACTATCCGGAAAAGCAACATCCATTATACAGAGACTACCGGAAAAGTCACAGGCCTCAGCAGTCAGCAGTCAGCACTCAACACGGGCAATGTGTCCAATGCAAGTAAGGCAGGAAAAAGTTTCACCTTTACATTACATTTTGAGAATTTTACCATAAAATGTGAAGTTTCTATAACCATGGTTCCCCAAATCTTAACAGCTACTGTCTAATTGTGTATTGGGCATGTGCATCTAGTACATCTTCCTTGAGTAACAAAATTTCATATCGCAGTTGGCATTTTTCAATGCAAACAAAGATGCAAAGTCATGAGAAACTGAAGTGTTAGTGGACAGCTTAATCTTGTACAAGATTAGTTCACTAATACATCAATTAGCAACAATGAGTTCATGTTCAACTTCAGTTAAGCTCAAGCATGAAGCTGAACTGATATATTGAAGACCATACCGAAGTTAAAACCAATGTCAGATACGGAAAAATTCTATAAAGTGAGCAAATAGATAGAGAGAGAGAACAGGAAGATAGCAACTCTAAAATTATCTAGACAGTGAAGAGGTTCTGGGGTTCACCAGACATAAGCAGCATTAGATCAAGAATTAGATTCTTGACAGCTGAAATAACATAAGGATCTACTTTCTCACTAAATGCAGAAAGAGAAAGCAACTCATTATCTGTTACCACCATTTATTTATGTTTTATTTTGTAATTAATAAAGGAAGAGGTAAGAACACAAGAAGATCAAGAAAATCTAGAAGCATGTCTCCGACAAACAGTTATAAGTAACACTTCCATCACTTGAAATGTAGCCACCAAACAATAGCATACATATATGAAGATTGCAACTTATAGTCTTCTAGATCCAAACGGTACAGAATATCATGATAACCAAACAAGGCAAAAAGCTGATGATCCTCCAAAGGTCAGCAGAAAATATGGAACTACCTTGTATTCTAGCACTGACACCAAAACATACTTAGGAGTAAAGCCCAAGCTAATAAATTAAATTCTAAGAATTTGATGTTCGCTGGTCTATTTTTTCAGAAAGTGCTGGGTGAGATTTTGCCTAACTTGATGGTCAAGCCGAACCAAATCAGGGATGAGGAGTCGCATATGGTTCGAAAGCTCTACAGGTCTACTTTCTAACCAAAAGAAAGAAATGTCGGGACTTCCCTAGAGTGAGTTATGGCCAATTAAGTAAATAGTGTTTTTGTTGACTGAAAAATCTGCATATGGGAATAACACACATAGTTAGAGTAGCCCACTTCTCTTCTTGGTTCCAGCACTTTGTGGTCAGTTTCTAAGTTAAAAACTATGATTTCTAAGACCTCTTTTGATGAGTTTTCAAGTTCATAGTGCCTTGCTTAAGCATAATTGTTTTTGAGTCAACATAGTCTTGTGTCTTTTGGTATTCTTTGCTTGAAACTAGTAGAGTTTGTTTTGAAGTGTTGCTTTTGTTTTGGAATTCTACCCCATGATGGAGGGTTGTTCCATGCCTTCTCTATTTAAGCTCCTACACATGTACTAGAAAGCAACATTTGATGAATTTGAATGATATTTGAGCATTTGACATGTTTAGGTGGAATTTTTCTTGTTATCTTTGCGTATCTCCTGAGTGGATTCCTTATGGTGGTGAACTATTCTATCCTTTGAGTCCTCGTATTGGTACAAAAACTTCGGTTTCAAATAGTTGGTCATCTTTGTCATGAATTAAACACTGAAGAACCTGCAGTTCGTGAAAGACATCCAAGAGATGTTATTGAGGACGATTAGAGTGGACAAGTGCAACAACTCTAGCAACATTTAAAACCAGTCATATTCCAGGGCATGTTGCATCAAATGATGAAGGGGAGGAGGTTAAACTCTTGAATCCTGTACGTAGTGTAGTATCGCGTAAAGAAGATTCCCCAACATCCAACTCATAGGAACTATGGCTTCCAACGAGATTATGATTTCAATGTTGATGAAATTCCAACACTTCAAGGGAAGCAACAACTAGATTGTCTCTCATATTGGTTTAAAACATCTGAAAGGGGTTGAAGCTTTAGGCTCCATAGATGAGAACTGTGTTTTTATTTTGAAACATTGAGGAACATCGCAAAAGTGAAGCTAGAAGCTATCAAGTTGAAGAAACATGCCTCTATTTAGTGGAAATACCTTAAGAAGCACCAAACTCGTGATGGAAGTAGCAAATTTATGACTTTGGAAAAGATGAAGAAAGAAATTAGGAGAAAGTTTTTATTGACCTGTTGCCTTTCTCAAGTTCCAAAAAATCAAATAAAAGGACCCATCCATAGAGGAGTATACCACAGAACTTGCATTGTTCGCTACCATGGTGGGCTTTGTTTAGAAATTCAAAATGTTGTACAATTGCAGTTGTATTGAACCTACAATGATGGATTTGAGTTGGCAATCAAGGTGGAGCGTCAACTCAAAGAAAAAAGGATGCAACTATCGCTCATATTCAAGTCAAGAAGATTCTGTAAAAGTGTTTCTACTTCAAGGTCCTCTCCCATGGTTAAAGCAAATCAGCTCCTAAATGCCATGGTATGACTAATTCAAGTCATCCTAACACCTTTAATCCTAATCCCCGTCAGCACTTCAAATGCCAAGGATTTGGTCACACAACTTCTGATTGTCCCTGCCATAAGTAGCTTCACTTGTTAGTTGTTAAAGACGTGTTAGAAGAGAAATACATAAAAGCGTCACCCACTAAGGAAAATTCGGACAATTAAGATGAAATAACCTATGCGGAACAAGGAGAGTCTTGAAATCTGTAGATGTATAAATGAAGTCCATACAGAATATGTGCCAAAAGAAGACTCATCCAATTCTAAAGCAAAACTGAAAAAAAAAAAAAAAAGATAGATTATCTTTGGAGTTCTAAATCATTCCCCAAAAAGGATGCAATGTCATTATTGATGAATGGAATTGTGAATATATTGTGACAAATAAAATGGTGAAATACTCGCTCAACAGAGAATCATCCCCACCTACCAAGCTTTCATGGCTTCTTAAAGAAGATGAAATGAGCATAACCAAGAAAAATGTGGAATTTTCCTTTGGGAAGAGAAATACAAGAATAAAGTGTTGTGTGATATCGTTCCCATGGATGCTTGACACTTAATTCTTGGAAGGTTGCCTCAATATAATATAAAAACCAAAAATGATGGATTCGAAAACTACCTATAATTTTCAAAGGTGGGGTTAATGTCTCTTTCGGTCCTACCTGTTGTACTTGTTTCTGGAAAAAAATTCAGTGACCGCGCAGAAGAACCGACTTTCTGGACTTCATTGGGTGGTCAAACAAACTCCAAATTAAGTAAATAATATATCATTGGAAAGCTTATGGAATCTAGTTTCTGACCATATAAAAATATTCTCGAAACTCCAACTATCGAATGGAATATAACAAAAAAGACAGAGACGTACAGAATTTAACTACATACAACACCCTACGTGGATATTGTTTCAAGGCCTACTTTAACTATTGAAAACATTTTGAAACCTTTTTCAAAAACATGTGTACTCACAAACTCACTTACCTAACCTAAGTGATGTTCAACTACGATTAACAAGCAATGAGCTCGTGACTATCACTTGTTGTTCAGCATCCAAAATCGAGACTAAAGATTAACAAAAATTACAAGTCGATTAAACACATTTTGACAATGAAATTTGCCAACACAAAAACTATTCTCATGACAAGTCCTTGTGTGCCTTTCTTGTACCTAAAAATGATGGAACTTGATGCATGCATGGTGAGAGTGGAGTGGTGAACAAGGTTGCTACTCCATACCTCTCTCCTATCTCTCCACATGACCTTCTTGATCAACTCCATAGAGCCACTGTCTTCTCAAAGATAGAGCTTCGAAGTGGGTATCACCAAATTTGAACAAGACTTGATAACGAGGAGGAAAAAAAAACAAGAAAGGATAAAATTGGTTGTGCGGTTGTTGTTGTTGTTTTGGGGGGGGGGGGGGGGGGGGGGGGGGGGGGGGGGGAGGGAGATTGGGTGACATAATCATGTTTTGAAAAAGATAGTGAAGATAAAAGAAAGAAAGGATTGTTTTATTTTGTGAGTAGTAAGGGAAAAATAGGAATTCATGTCCTCTAATAATAATAATAATAGTGGAAAAACAAATAATCACTAACTCACCCCTCTTTTCCTTCCAAATCCTCCCCCCTTTAGTCAAAACACTATTCAAAGGAATGGAAAACAACCTTCAAGAAGGGATGGACTAACTGAACGGATGGTTATCTCTTTTGGCCTTACTAATTATCCTAGTATTTTTATGTGCTAATTCATGCTTTTAGAGCTTCTATTGGAAGATTTATTGATGTTTATTTTAATGGCATCCTTGTTTACAGCACAACGTAAAAGCATGACTTTGAGCATCTTCACCAAGTTTTCCAAGTTCTAAGGGAGCAAGGGTTCTATGTCAACTTGCAGAAGTGTCACTTTTTTACAAATAGCCTCATCTTCCTAGGTTATATTCTGTGGAAATTGGCGCAATTCTCAGCAAACAGGGTAAGGTTTATTGTTTTTTTTTTTTTTTTTGATAATTCATTGTTTTCCTTATCATTTATTCTTCTATTTCAATCACACTCTCTTCCTATGATACAACATCATAAATAACACTCCCACCAACTGATTTTCTTTTTCCTCCCTTTTTGATAGCTTTGGTGGATGCTGCTCAGTGGTTCACATAATGATTACAAGATCTCAGACCCTAGTTATATTACGAAAAAGAACTCTTGCCTCTTGTTAAACTTTTAAGTGTTGGACCACTGAAACACATTTAAGCAGCAAAACAAGTAGAAAATTCATGATAGCAAAGTGCAAAGTAGGAATTTATACTACAAATAATAATTGAATTCCTAAAATAAACCCACTGAAAAAAGAAAACATCCCATGGATTAGTGAGAACCTCTAAAAAGTGCATTTCTTAATTTCCTTCTACTTGTCAATTAAATACCATAATAAGGCATGTGAATGAAAATAAAATAAATTATGCATAGCATTGTAAAGATACTATCAAAATAATACTACCATTAGAACTTACATGACATCTGCAAAAAGCAGTAGACAAAAGGCATTATTGAGCTGAATCAATTTGTACTAACCCAATAATATTACATCTGAATAACCAATTTTATCACTTTAGCATCTCCTATATCGCTTGAACTTCGAGAGGAGATGGATGTACTGCCCCTTCTCAACCATATGTCTTATTACTTCATGAGCTTCAGAAAGCTTTCCAGCATTTCGCAGATTACTCACTAGTGTGCTATACACAAGGAAATTCGGATTACAACCTCTGGATTCCATTTCTGTAAGCATCAAACAAGCCTCCTCAAACTTCCTTGCCATACAGAGGCCACGGATCATGGAATTGTAAGTAAATACATTTGGCATCTGTCCCTTGATGACCATCTCACTGAACAGTTCCTGAGCCTTTTCAATCTCCCCTGCCACAATATATCCTGTGATCATAACCGTATAACAGACCACATCAGGCATGCACCCATTCTTAATCATCTCATCAAAAAAGTACTTGCAGGCATCCAGATTACCAGCCCGACTAAGACCATCTATTAATGTGGTGAAGTGAAGAACACTCGGATCAATACCAATTTCCCTCATGTGGTTCAAAAGATTAAGTGCTGCAAGTGGTTTATCTCCTTTTCCAAGAACATGGAGAAGAATGTTGAATGTATGGAAATCCGGTGAAAAACCATTCCTGCCCATTTCATCCAGCAATCTGTGGAACTGATCCAGCTTCCCTAACCTATACTTTGTACACATAAGTATATTATAAGTAAAAATATCAGGGGAATATCCCTCAATTACCATTTGCTGATACACCCACTCAATCAACCTGTACTGGTTTACAGAAAGAAGGGAATGTAGAATTGCATTATATGAATGCTTGAATGGCCTATAATTAAACGTCTTTGACTTGATAAACCTTTCCACAACTTTCCTAGCTAAGCCTGCCTCGCCACAAGTGCATATCAATATGTTAAATGTGCGTGCAGTGGTGGGGAATCCTTTTTCAATCATCTCATCAACTAGCCTCCACATTGCCTTAAATTCCTCAGAATCTGCAAAAATCTTCATTATCAAATGGTATGTGTTTGCTGTATGCCTGTAATCCTCTTGTTGACCAGACCATACAAAGAACTTGTAACCCAACTTCGCACACCGGTTTTTATTTGCGTAATTTATTGTTTTCAAGATCCCTATAAGAACTTTTCTCACAAGAAGGCTTGAAACCCTTATCTGAGAATCCTGTAAAGCCACTTTCACATCAAACCCAGGACCATCTTGTTGAAGTATATCAAGAACCCTCTCCGCATCGATCCTCACATTCTCAAAATAACTTCGTTTCACGGAGAAATTACCCTGCGAATGGCTACCAAAACTACTTTCCCCTCCTGAACAACCAACGAACTCGTTGGAGTGAGATTTTTCTAACAAAATCGAATCGATATCGGAACTTTTCCAAGTCTCATTCAAGGATTCTTCAACGCTTCTGAACCCATCATCAATGCCATCCCCATTAGAGGTACGGCTGCATAAGGATCGCGAAATGTCGTAAAAACTAGAAAATTTCGGAACAACCCTTCGACCAAATATTGCTATAGAATACATTATGAATGCCAATCAAGAAATGGGAACTACCCATTATGTCTGTAACCTTTTTGCCTCCAATAAAGCTAAGAAATTGGTAAACCCAGTTAAAGAGAGCGCCAAATGGTACGATTCGTGCCGTATATTGGGTATAGAAATACCCATTAAAAGGAAGAACAAAAAAACCACACACCAGTCCGAACCCTAAAAACCGCATTCATGGAAGAAGATTCTAACTTTCCTTACGATTTTGAGACCCAGTTCAGCAATCAAAACAGTGATATCTTCACTAAATTCTAGGGTTTTGAAGAATTGATTTCAGAGTGATAGATAAGGGTTTATGGAGCTAGTAAGAGAGGCCAATACCTGGTAATGAGGAATTTATTGAGGCGGCGATAACAGTCTTTCTCTGAAGCAGTGCTGAGGTTTCGTCTTTCTTTGCAAGAGTCGGAAGTGGATGAGCTGGAAGAAGCGGCCAATATCTGTGTGAAACTCTCACTGTGACTGTGTGAGCAAAGTGACGATTGACGAATTGTGAATTCGATAATTATTAGGTACTAAATTAACTTCTAATTCAGGAGAGAATTAGTTCAAAAATAAATAAATAAGGGAAAAAAATTTTATGAGATTTTTAAGAACATGTTTTTATAGGTAAAATTAGTAGCATTATTAACCAAAAAAAAAAATTGTCAAACAAATTTATTATCAGTCAATCTCAGCGTTACTTCTCACCTCTAAATTTAAAAGATCGAGAAGAGCATAGTATATTTCAAAGTAAAATAAAAATTTAAGAGTTCTTTTTTTTTTGAATTAACATAAAGTCATTTTCATCAACTTTTTTTTTTTTGGCTCCATTAATGGAAGGATGATGGATTTTTCGCAATTTTGAAGCATTTAGGAGCGTTTTTTATTGTTCGAGAAAGTTTCCCTTTTTATAAAGAATTACTATGTATTTTTAAAATTTATTATTATCGTTTTTTTTTTTTTTTTTTTTTTGGTGCATTTTAGTCTTATATTTATAACTAAAATGAGAAAAAATCAGTTCAAATGATTTTGACACGTGGACATAATTCTTTTGTGCTTTCTACTTGGAAGATTGACTCGACGATAAGAATTTTTTTAAATCTTTAAGGCCGGACATATCTTTCATTATTAATGAAGTTATTAGAATCACTTATAAAGTTAAAATAAAAATAAATAAAAAAAGCTATGCACAAACCTTTCAACTTTTATTAAATCAGTAATCAGCACAATGTCCCTTATAAATAATAATAAATAAATAAATAAATAAATATATATATATATATATATATATATATATATTAAAAAAATTTGTATATCTAAAATTTATAACCATGAATTATTGACCCAAGTACAATTAAAATGTAATTTTTATTTTCAGAAAATCTACACTTAGCATGTAAAATTATGAACCTATATGTCTATTTCAAGCGATTCCGTTTCAATCCAGTAGCAAGCAATGGGCCAGTTTAGTATAGTATGTTTACTTTTCTGAAACAGTTTTCATAAACTATATATACATATATATTGAGAACCAACATATTTTTTGTCAGAGTTTTAAAAAAGTGTCAATCAAATAAATTTTTGTACTGGTTTGTGATTTTCAATTCGTTCAACACTTTTTGCTCTCCCAGAATTAGTCCAAAAAATGCCTATTAAGACTTTAAGAGTATCACCCAAAGCAAGCACGTCCGTGTTCGAGTCCTCCCTTCCCTAATTTGTCCCCCAAAAAAAAAAAAAAAAAAAAAAAAACAGCAACGGAATTACAGACTGCAAGCTCAAATGGCATATCAATATGAGTAATTCCAATGCACCCTGTTTTTATATTTTATATAAACTTAAGAAAAGGAAAATCTTACAGAGCAATGCTCTCCACCGGCATTTGGATGGAAAGACATTAACAGCCTAATATCTAATATACATACCCAACTAGAAATGGCTAAGCAAAATTTTGCGACACATTTCAGTGCCCTCCATCATAACATTAAAACTTGCCGAGGACTGAAAGCAGCAGAGCTTACACGTACTCCAGATCTTCGTCCCAACGTTCCAGGACAATGGTAGCAAGAGCAAGCCTATATGCCGTAGACCTCAGATTCCTAACCAGGACGAATATCTCCATCCTTCTTTGCTTCACGGGCATTGAATTCCACTGCTCTTCTCTGAGGCGAGCAAGACAGACCGCCTCACACATAGCTCCCGCCACTGGCTTCTTGCTGCATATCCACAGATACCAAATTCAATAAAATATTGAAGAGTAGGAACTGAAGTTAGCTATTAACATGGTTTATGTCCTCTTCTTTCCGAAAACCTACCTAATGCTCAGTTGGGTCCTACTCCTAGAGATATCCAAAATGCTGAGTGTATGAATTCTTTGAGAAGTGGAGTAGGCAAGTAATACTAACCTTCCTCGAACAAATCCAGTTGTGACAAAACCAATTGGCCACCTATGTGATTCCCTGGCTACAGGGTCATCCGGTATCTGAAGTTCCCATTTACCAGATGGTTGTTGTACAAAGAATGATCTCAATGAGGACTGAGGTAGTAGAATTTCTCCATCATTACTGCCTGATCTGCATCATTCAGAAGCAGAGATATTTAGTTAAAGGCATACTTAACAACCCTTGCTTTCTTCTTTTTCCCATTCTCTTTTGGTTCAATTTTTATCGTAATTATGATATATGGACAGATTTGAAAATTAGCCAACGACTGATATGATAGTCTGGCCTACAATAACCCCTAGATACAAATTCTTAATGGAAAACCCATTACTCACAAAATTGTATTATAGTCCCAATAAGTTAGGTGGAAGCAATTGTGATATGATTAATACAAAATTATAAATTAAACCAGAAAATTATATAATTAGATCATCTGCAGATCAACTTTTTTCCAGAAAAACAGAATCTAACAAGTAAATTTTTGTTCTAGAAACCCATAAATCCCCTCCCCTGATTGCACATAACCCGCAAAGAACAAGCAAAGAGTTTTCACCCTAGTAAGCAAATAATCCAGATGACAACTTACACAAATGGTTGTATATATGGTAATAGGAACAAGTACAGATACTTGAAAAGCAGCTAAGAGAGCAGTTACCTGGACATCCACAACGTTATATCAGTAAGATGAGGTGCACAAACCACTGCTCCCTCTTCAAAAACACCTTTTTTGTAAGCGTGGAGAAGAACTCTAAGGAAACATAGTTTGTTATCATAATTTAACAGGGAGATGGCCCGATTTTGACAACTGAGCTTTCCTTCATCCTTCATAAACTTAGAAATACGTTTCTTACCATCAGGCATGTTAGGGAATAAAAGCAAATGCTCACCATTGATATTATTCAAGAACTCAGACAGCATATAGGATGTTCTCACTACAAATCCCTCAAATGATGACACAACATGAGAACCAAGTGCAGCTGTCTCGCAATTTTCACAATCTGATTTTGTAAATGAGTTGCAGTCAACTGTATTTTTAGCATAGAGTTCTTCGAAATGACTTTGAGCATCTCCCAATGTAGATGATTTTTTGTCAAAAGCAAACCGAACACAGTCCCATGGAGGTGGAATAGGAACATTAAAACATCTCACGGCAGGAGGACGAAGTTTTTCTTTCTTATCAGCGGCAGCTGCTTCAGTTGCCATGAAGCAAGAGTATGCTCTGCAATCAGGAAAATCTGAGGGAAAATATGGCAACCCACCCTGTCAAAGAAATTTGCTTATGACTAAAATTTACAACTTGATAATGATGCTGAACAAAATAAGGTGCAAGTACTTACTTCACAAGCAATCCAGTGCTTCTCTCTCAAACCTATGGCATGAGCGCCATGGGAGACCAGAGGAACCCAAAAGGCTTTGACCCAACTCAACGGGAGTATAACAGACCACCTGAAAGAAGCAACAATGCTATCAGGCACTTTAAGGATTTCCATTATTAAAAAGTTCATATATACCAGAAAAAGTGCATTATGCTTTCACAACGATATACACAGAACAAGCACCAAAAAGAAAAGGACAAAGTCTCCCAATCACACTAGCTACAAAGCTAAATTACATGGACAGCTTCAAATTCAGAGGCGGAAGAAATATTCAGGTTCTTATCCAATGGGTATTCCAACACCAGGAACTACGAGCAAGAAAATTTAAGAAAACTAATTTGAATATAATTAATACCAAATACAAGAAGATAGTTTTCTTCTTTCTTTATTGGGGGGTAAGTGAAGAACAGAATAAATTACCTTATAACTGAGCCCTTCTGGTTATCATTTTTCAGAAGCATAATAGGGCAAAATCTAGAACACCGTCCCTTGCTTGAAACATTTGCTGCTCCCAAATTTTTATTACCAAGGCGAAAGAAATCCAGCTGCTGGTGTTGTTTTTCCATGCAAAGAACACTTTCTTCCACTGGAGGATCAAAACCGTTACTGACATCCCACAAATCAATACACTCAGATAAATCACTTATTTCTTCAGGTTTAGACCATAGTGACGAGTGTAATTCTGATTTCTTGTTTGGATTATCTGCCAAGTTCATGTGCCCATTAATTTCATCGTTCCGTACATGACCTAGTATACTACTAGATTTTGCTTCAGGAGCAACTGCCACTCTCTTCTCAGTCAAAGCACGAGGATCAATGACTTTAAGGGAGATAATTGCGGAAGAAGATGTATGATCTTCACTATCAAAGATGGAAAAATTCTTAAGTCGAGTTTCACCATCAGCCTCCACAACAGAACATTTTTTTAATTGCCAAGAATTCTCTAAAATACTGCATAGTCATAAGACAAAATTCAGTCATTTTTAACTCATTTAGTGTAATATGACGCATGAACTAGGTTATACGTTTGAATATCTCACCAGGTAACAGGATGCAACATCATTTGAAGAAGATGACATGTTCTTGATCCCATCACTTCCAATTTTGCAAGTTGACCCTCAAGTGAGATACAACTAATCAAGATGCCAGTCTCATCCATCTGAAAAGAACTGGCACATGGTTATTAAACATATATGTCGCCTGAAAATTAAAGATAAAAATACATAAATAATAAAGTAAAGCATTACATTGACGTGTGTGTACATTTCTTTAGCATCATATTTGTTACCCAACAACTAGAGGGTATAAGTTATAAATAATTTAAACATCCACAGGATCAGGGATATCTATACCTTACCTGCTTTTGACAAGCAAATTTTAGAGCATTATGTCCTTCTCTAAAGCTTGCAGCATGTATCCATACCCACAACTGGCGGGAGGAAGAACAATTGTTGATTTTCTGAGGCTTGTCACATCCATCAGTGTTATTGTCCCCGTCCACACCTACGTACTGCTGATGAGAAGGTCGCCACATATACGTCACTGGAGCAATGGGACAAGAAAAGGGAGCTCCAACATGATGAAGCTGCGAAAAACAAGGAAATCAGATATCCCAGATTTTTATGTGGCCCATGTTGCATAGAAGAGCATATAATGGCTCACCCACCATAGCATTTCGATAGATAACGCCAGAGAGTACAGAATGTGAGATATCTTCAGAATGTGCTGATGGAGAAGACACAAGTACAATGCTTAGAACAGCCAATAATGAATCCTGGAAGAAAATAACATAACAAACCAAGCTTGGTTAATTATTTGATCGGGGAAGAGATATAGAGCATTACAGAACTTGATGGGCCATGGAATTTATTAATGCATCCTCCCAGTCAGAATACATTGCTATCGCTCAATATGTCACAACCATTACAGGATAACAAAAGAGAAAAAAACAATAAATAAAATAGGAGTGAATCGACAATCAAAATCTTGTAAGTTGTAATAAAGAAAATGCCTGCCTCTGGACCTTCCAGTTGGACAGCACCATAGTAGCTTGCATCATGCATGAGAACTCCGTGTTTTAACCTCTTCAAGAGAGCCCTTGAACCTGTTCCTCTACATCATACAATGCATGAAAAATGAATTGTCTATCAATAGGAGTTGTTGGCATTATTTCTTCCTCGTAAGGACAAGAAAACATGTTGGGAAAAGGCTTCGTTGTTCTTTTAGTTGTATATGGAGAAGAAAACACATACAGAAAGAATTACACTAAATTAAACTGGTCTTCACTTCTTCAGTGCATTACCCATGTAATTCCTATATGAATTGAATCTATAGGATTGGAAAATAACCAAATCCAATTGTTATGTCTGCACTTTTGGTAAAAGCAAGAATGTGTTACCTGCCCTGCAAACCAAGAGGAAGGTGGAAACCCCAAAGCTTTGTCATTGTGAACCGCTTTGCATGCCATACGTGTGTTCTCAACCTCTTCGTCCCATCCCCCGAAGTACAAAAGCCAATCTCAGGATTCTTTTTGAGTTCAAGTTTTCGACGAATATGACGAGGAGGCTTCTTCTCATCTTTCTCAGAAGCAACATCATTGCTCGCATCCACTACTCCAAGTTTCTGCTTCTTTCTATATCTATTCTTTGCAGTTCGATTGTCATACCCAGTGGTTCTTCTCCTTTTGCTTCTCCGAGACCGAAAATCATTGTTTAATCGGTTCGCAATGATTGAGTGAAGAGTTTCTAGTTCAGAAGATCTAGATTCTGCAAATTTCTGCACATTAAGGGTGCGAGGAGGTAGAGCTGTTGAGACTTGAGGTTGTCTGCTTCCATTGGTGGCCATAAGACAAAATTGAATCCAAATCAACACATCAACATTTCTGAGGTGAAACAATATAACACACTTTATGCATAGGACCGTCTGCTCCTTCACAGTAGAGCCACAAGCTGAAAAGCAAAGGTATAAATGTAAAGTTCAATGGACATCCAGAGAGGAAAAGATATTAAATAAAGATAACTGCAATTTGTGCAGTTGGAATCAATGCACAGCTTAACCAAATGGCCTCCTTGAAATGAAGTTTATAGACATTGAGGCATTAGTTGGAAATGAACATATGCACCAAATTTTGAGTTGTGCTTCAAAATGAAGTTCTTACAAATGGATTTACACAAATGTCTTATGATATTGCCATAAGATACTAGAAATGATTACTAAAGCTTAACAGATGAATAAACTCAGCTGTAGAGCTTGTATGTGCAATCAAGATGTCCACTGTGCTATATTCTCTTTTGGTAATTGAAATGTCATTAACACATTCCATGTAGCCCTCAACAGGAGTACCATGTTTAGGCAAAACACAGCCGAATTTTCACCAAAGCGCCAGTATGTCGGTGACCCTATAAACAAAAGTTTTACATCCTACATAAAGTATACCTTTTTTCAAGAGCAATTCCCAAGCTATATTTCCAATTACAATTACGAATCGATTGCAAAGTTAAAACTCATGCAACCACAAATAATGAGTGTTTCCAGCCATAACATGTTAAAGTTCACATATTTTACAAATTTAATGTATTCCCTCCACAAATTATTAAACTTGATATATTCTATAAATGGGGTGTAATTAGCCTACCCCCCAAAAAAAAAGTGCAGTTCCTACTTCCTACATAATGGAAGTTAAATGATACGTTACTTATTCCAATAAAACTTCAGTAGATAAATCATTAATCCAGTGAATATGCTATACAGAGATGACCTAGTTACTACCATTAAGTGCTAAAGCGTAACAAATTGAGCTTGAAAAATATCCAAAATACACACAAGTGAACTAGTAAAGAGGACCCTTTTATAACTCAATTCATTACAATAGCCTTATAAATAGCCAAACCAAGCTCAATTTATCAGCTTATAGAACTATTATATATCTATCAATTACTAGGTAATATTAATACTACCTATAAATGCCAAAGAAGGATCACATTCTCTTTCAATAAAATGAACCCTATGTTTGGGAGCACTGAATCGGCACCTTGGATTTGGAATTGGAGGAAATTTAGTTCAAAGTTTAAACTAATTTTTCTCCAATTCCAAGGTACCGATTCGGTGGTTCCAAACGCAACATAAACGCATTCACATACACTTCATTGATAATACATAAAAAATTATATTTACAAGAGCTTTATTTTAACAACATAGCTTGTGGGAGTAGATGTAGGCAACAGATTCATATACCATTGGTGAAAAATGACACAAAATGTTGGCTGATGTCAGTTGTTTTTTCTGTTTGTTATCAAATATGCAACCTAAATTTTTATTAACAAATTTTCCCTCTCTTCTTCTTTTTTAATATTGAAAACTATCTCAAGCCTACTTCCTAAGAAGCTTAACATAGTTGTTAAAGGTCTCAAGGAGCACTAAGGCGCCAAGGTCTCCTGGAGCTTGAGGCGCAAGACGCAAGGCGAGGCGCACGTGACACAAAACACGTAAAAGAACAGCAATAATGTGGCAATCAACAACAAATACAGCAATAACAACGAAATTTACAACAATAACATGGAAATTAACAGAAAATAATTTGGCAATCAACAGCAAATTCAGCAATAATGTGGCAATCAACAGCAAATACAGCAATAACATGGAAATTAACAGAAAATAATGTGGCAATCAACAGCAATTCAGCAAAAACATGGAAATTAACAACAATAACATGGCAATTACCAAAAAATAAATAAAAAAGAGCAGAGAAAATAGAGAAGAGAGAAGCTGCTGCTGAAGAAGAAGAAGCTGCTGAGGAGGGGGGGGCGGGGGGGAGGGCTGAACTTGGATGAGAGAAACTGCCTAAGGGGAGGAGAAGTGAAAAAATTAAATTAAATTAAAAAGGATCAGAACTACGATGAAAACAGAAAACTAGGGGAAAATAATGAAAATTTGTTGTAGAAGAAGAAGAAGAAGAAGAACAGAGAAGTTACCAAAGGGGAGAGAGAGAGAGAGAGAGAGAGAGAGAGAGAGAGAGAGAAAACAGAGAGACAAACTGCAGAAGGGGGATGAAGAAGAGGAGAAGGAAGAGAGAAGATGCTGAAGGGAAGAGAAAAAGAAGAGAGAGAAGGTGCTGAAGGGGGATGAAGAAGAGAGAAAGGAGAATGAGGAAGAAAGGAAAAAAAAGAAAAAACCTAACTCATGGATTGGCTGAGAAGAAGAAGAAGAGAGGAGAGAGAGCATACCTACGATCGCACACCAGAGAGAGCCCCAAATTGTCAACGGACTGAGAGGGTATTTTTGGTTACGTTCTTTACACCCTTCAGCAATATAACATGTGGTGGTCGGGTCCAGTTAACTTAAAATTACCACTTTTCAGCAATATAACATGTGGTGGTGGGGTCAGTTAACTTAAAATTACCACTTTTCAGCACTATAACATGTGGTGGGGCCCAAATCACCTTAAAATTAGTAATAACAATTGACTAAATTGAGCAACTAAATAAACAATCGTAAAGCGCATAAATCCCCCTAATCTTTACTCTCTCCCCCCAAAAAAACCCTGAACTTTTATTTTGATAGAAAACTCTCAAAACTATTTCAATTTTTGCAAAAAAAAACTTTGATTATCATGTAACCTACGTTATAATTTTAAAATGCCGGTACTACCCTTATTACTTATGGGATAATTAAGGAATAAAATCTGAAACCCCCAAATTGTTTATTGCTAACCCTAACTTTCATTCACAAATTGCCATCGCCACCTCTGTGGAGGTCTCACTTTGCAACCCCCTACAACTCCAACCGCAACGACACACAAAATAATCGGATAGAGTGCATCAAAACTCCAATTCCAATTCCAACTACATGTACTCAATCTTTCAATTACCACAACAAGACATGCTCAAGATCGCCGAGCTTGTGTCTCACCAGCATCAATGTCACGCCGGTCACGTTCATCTTCGTTGTTTGATAAATCAATCACCACACTTGTGCCGTTCGCGCGACAAACAAACAAACCCCAATCTGAACTATTCGTCCTCCACCATTAAATTTGTAAAATCCCTTTTATTTGGGTTCTCTTCGTTTTCCAAAACCAATTATGCATCGAAATGGCTTAACATTATTTTATTGGATCTAACAAATCAACAGTATACAAGATCCGTGGCCTCTATTCAACTATATATATATATATATATATATATATATATATATATATATATATATATATATATTGCGACGACGAGCTATGAAAAGTTTCCTCCGTTGACTGTTGGTGAGGGGAGGCAATATTGCACTGGCGGGAGGGGAGGCGATATTGCACCGGCAGCGGTGAAGATAGCCAAAGAGAGAAATTTTGGAGGCAAGTGAAGAAACAAATAGGCAATTTCGAAAAATCAGGAAAAAGATTCTCAATATTGCGATCGAAGGTGCGGTATTTGAATTCGGTGAAGGGATCGACAAGGTGGGTCTGTGCATATCCCTTTCTCTCTCTTTCTATATATATGTGTGTGTGTGTGGCTTGTATATAGGTGGGTCTAGTACAAGTGTTGGTGTTTGGCTGCTAAAGTGAGTAGTGTAAATCTGTATGGAATGAGCTATGGTTTCCAAATTGAGTTTCAAAGTCAACTTTTTAGATTGGAGTCTGTATTGAAGTTGTTTGGCGCTAAAACGTTGAAGGGTAGGTGAAGCTTGTTGATAAGGTGCTGCGTTGTCGCCATATATTGGTTTTTAAGATTGCTACTTGACAAACTACAATAAACATTCCAAACGGTGTCGGTTCATTTAAGGCCAATTTGGTAATTAAATATTTCCAGTGAGCTCCGGTACTATTTTAATTTTGTCCTTAAATTGCACATTTTGAATAGTTCAGGGGGCATTATTTAATTCATGGGGGGTTTTGTGTTTTTGTCCTTGAAAGTATGGGGGGTTTCTTGCACTTTACCCTATAACTTCAGTCAGGCGCTCCTTTATTGCGCCTTGAGCCTGACACGCCTGTGTAACAAGAGCGTCCCTAAGGCAACACGACTCGCCTGGGCTGGTGCAAGGCGCAATTGATGCGCTTTGCGCCTGAGGCGCCCCAAGCGCGCGCCTTTGACAACTATGAGCTTAAGTACTGAAAACTATCTCAAGCCTCCTTCAAGATGCAAAAAGGTGAAAGAAATCAACAAGGCTTGTGGCGCAGTTGGGTGGTAGGACAGACCATTGGTGCCTGAACAAACCGTATCCAGTAAGGGCCGGCCCCTAGATTTCAAATATTTTGAGAGGCCCTAGGCAAACTTTCAAATGTGAGGCCCTTAAGTTTCACACGTGCAAAAAAAAATTATAAGCGTGCGGAATTTTCATATGATGTTTTCAAATTCTATAGCTAATATAATTGTGCACCTGTGCAATGTGCATAAGATAACTAACTAATAACTATAAATTTATCACCACCAACAAATAATTGTGTCTGTACAGTGTGCATAAGACTACTAACAAATAACTATAAATCTATCACCACCAATAAATAATTGTGCGTCTGTGCAGTGTGCTTAAGACAACTAACTAATAATTATAAATTTTTATCACCACCAATAAATAATTGTGCGCCTGTGCAATGTGCTTAAGACAACTAATTAATAACTATAAATTTTTATCACCACCAATAAATAATTGTGCGCCTGTGCAATTTGCATAAGACAACTAATAACTATAAATCTATCACCACCAATAAATAATTGTGCGCATGTGCAGTGTGCATAAGACAGGTAACTAATAACAATAAATCTATCAATTAAAGAGTGCGAAATTTTCATAGCCACAAAAATTATAGGAATGCGGAATTTTCATTAATATGAGATGATAAGAACAAAAAATATATTAATGTTGAAAACATACAAAAGAAAACCCGGTCTTGGTGTTTTAAAAAAAGCACAATCCAGTTTACATCAAAAAATTAAAATGAAATATTCAACACAATTTAGTCACAAAAATCAAAATTCAACTTTATATCAAAGTAAATGTTCAAGGCAAATAACCTCACGAGATCCTAAGAAGAGTGTCCTCAATATGCAATGATCAAGGCAAATAACCTCACAAGATTCTAAGAAGAGTGTCCTGCTAGCATGTGAAAGAAGATCACAATTAAAAGAAAATGGATGGAGAATCAAACGGAAACAATAATAACTAAGCATTGCCGATCCTAAGAAGAGTGTCCTGCTAGCATGTGAAAGAAGATCACACTTGACATAAAACGGATGGAGAATCAAACAGAAACAATAATAACTAAGCATTGCCGATCATAGAATAAATATAATATAAAAATAATCTAAAATCAATGGTCAAATGATCTCCTAGCTGGAGTTTTCATTGGAGCTTTGTGTGTGTTTTTGTGTGTTTTTTTTTTTTGGGAGCCAATTACCCCTTTCTTGATTTCAGGATGAGGAATCAACTTTAGTAGCAGTGATTGATTGATCATTGCTACAGAAAACCTGTGCAAATTAATAGAAAAAACCATTAACTTTTGTTTTGTTAAAGCCTGCTCTTGATTTCCATGTGTTTGTACATTCTGATGGCAAGTGCATTGACAGTATTATTAACTGAAATTCTAGCTGAGCCAACTTCAAATAACATCAATAATGGTGGTATGTAACTTCATATAAAAAAAATAAAAATAAAAATAAATAAAAAACCCTTAATTTGGCACTTTTAAGTATGAGCATAATTTAGAGATCGAAAAAGATAATTATTACGTTAGGTCCTCAACCCACTAGAAGGGATCCTCAATTTTCGTATGGTTGCTGCTGTTGTGAGACTGGAGTGGACTTCGGGAGAGGAAAAAAAAAAAAAAAAGATCGATTCATGCAAAAGGAGAGAGAAGAGAGAGAGAGGATGAACATACCTTGTCACGGTGTCACCTGAGCCTGAGGCGATAGCGGAGGCTGCGTCCGGCTGAGGGTCGACGCAGATTGTGTCGTCAGAAAAACTTGCCCTAACCTTTTTTTTTTTTCGTTTTTTCCATCCCCCTACATCGCACTTGGGTTTTAAGCCCTTTTTTGTCTTATTAACTGTTAACCTATAAATCCTTTAGTATTACAATCTGACCCCTCTTTATTAGAATAAAATTTCAATTTTGCCTGGAAAAAAAAAAAAAAAGTACTGGTATCCAAAAGTATCTTTATTACTGTATTTAAAAAATCTTTACGGTCTATACTTCTCCAAATAGGGTTTTTTTTTTTTTTTTTTTCCCTTTTTTCCCGCCCTTTATCTACTCTTAAATATTTTTAAAAGTGGAACTCATGCTATAAAATAATTGAGTTAGTGTTTTAGAAAGCATTTTTCTTCTTGCCAAGCATTTGAGTATATCTCCTCTTCCTTTTTTCATTTTTCTTTTCTATTTTTTTTTTTTTAATTTAAATGAACATGATACTTTTCTTGGCCTTTGGATGTTCAACCTGCTTCATATATATACCATAGCAAATGATGAATTAATTTTAAGATTAATGTGATAATTCTATGTTACTAAAATTTTAGATACATTGGTTTGATTTTTTATCTTATTTGTGCTTCTTTGTAAAGAATGTATATAAGTTCTTCTCTGTTTATAAACAGTTTATGTTAAGTCTGACAAGGTGAAGGAAGATTACAAACTGAGAAATTAAGAGCAACTTCATAACACAATAAAAGCATTCCCATCCGCAATCAAATTTCCACCAAATTAACCAAATTTCCACCACCAGCAATCAAAATTGAGTTCTAACTTCTTGAAGACAGTCCTCAGTGTGTAAAAGCAGCATATCGACATTGCTTTCCTCGTGCATTATGGCGCCTTGTCACAGAGAGCTTTGACAGAATTGCAGATGGTATCTTCTCACCCTAGTTGCTCTCATTTGATAGTTTTTCAGTTAAAGAATGTTTCAACAAATGTGCAAAGAATGTTATAACAACTGTGTTATTGATATACATGGTATGTTTTATTTGATCAAACTCTAAATAAACTATACTTGCTGCTTGTCACACCAATGCCTCGCCTTCTCTAGCTTACAGTTTCAAGCATGCATGCAGCATCTTCGAAAATGCTAATTCTTCTTACCGTTCTTCAGACAACGTATGGTCATTACAAGTTGTTGCCTTTCGCCTTCTACCTCTGCAAATTTCAGACTTATTTCTGAATATCTCTCTTCCATTTCTTTTAGCTCTCGTTCCATGACTTTGTTCCTTTCCATCAGTAATGCTACATCAGTTAACAACTCGGTCTGATTGGAGTCAACTCCACTTTGCTTTGACTTGCCTTCTGTAGTTCTCTTCTCCAAATGCTGTACTTCCTGTATGTCAAAAAGTAGTGCTATCCTGAGTCACTATCTGATATATTCATACGTATTAGTAGAAGTAAATTTAAGTTTGGATCACACAAAAAATCTAGGTAATTTAACTTGATTTATACTTGAACTTAATGGGATTTTCTCTAGAGATTGATCAAACATTTATTCAAAATAATTCATTTAAAATTCCAAGGGCTGGAGAAAGTACTATAATATAGAAGTAGGATTTTCTGCACTTCCATGGAGAAAGTACTACAACTGACACATAAATAGCTTTGTACACCTAATCTTTTTTTTCTTTTTTTCTTTTTTTTTTTCATTTCTTGTTTTAATATGGAAAACAACTATATTCTTACTGTTAGATAATATTCAAAATAAAATGGGGCAGATTTGTTTACCTTTGAATAAGTAACTTGTTCACCATGACTCTTCAATTTCTTCTTTAAACTGGTGATTGCCTCATCCTTCTTCTGTTGGTCACCCTCTAATACAAACACCTGTTTCCTCAGATTTTCATTCTCCTGTTCAACTTTGAACAAGCAATGTTTCAAATCATTATATTGAGCTCTAAGCTTTTCCACTTCTGACTGAAGAGTCCCAATTATCGTCTCCTTTTCGTCCTTCAAAGACCTCAATGTACCTAATTCCTCCTGTAACTTTTCTGCATCCTTCCTTGCTGAATCAAATTCTCTCTTAAGTTCTTCTCTTTCATTACTCCATCTTTGCAGCATCTCTTGTTCACCATTTGATGTCTTTGCGTGTTCCATCTCATCTCTCAATTTTTCTTTCTGCTCTGCCTTGGCAGAGGGACCATTCTTCTCCCTTTTGAGCTTTTTTATCTCGCCTTTGAGCGATTGGATCTCAATTGTGAAAGCCTCTAGTGATTCTTCCTTGAGCTTTTCAATATTTTGGACTTGCGCAGACCTCTCATCAAGTTCCAATGACATTCTCTCTATTTGCTTTGCTTTCATATCTGTTTGATTTGAGAGCTCTTGCAGTTTTACTTCATACTGATCCTTAGTTATCCCAAGCTCTTCATTAGCTCTCTGGAGCAATTCTTCCAGCCTGCTTTTCTGTTGACGCAGATCATTAGCTTCTGCAACTGATTTCATGGCCTTCTTCTCATTTTCATCAAACTTAGATGCCATCTCCACAGAAAGCCTTCTGAATTCCTCCTGAAGCCGCTCAGCTGCATTAGCATTATTCCATCTTGTCTTTCTCAAGGCCTCCTCTGCTTGGATGGCCCTCTGCTCCTGCTCAACTTTGGCGCGTGTCATTGCTCCAAGATCATCCTCAAAACTTTCTGCCTGCTTCTCCAGTTCATTCTCCAAACTCTTTACTTGAGTTTCAAGCTGATTGATAGTATCCGAAGATTCTGATAATTCTATTGTCTGCTTCTTGATTTCGTTCTCTAAACTTTCTACCTCGAATTTGAACTCTTTTATAATTGCCGACATTTCTAAGCATTCATTATGCTGCTTCATCTGTTCTATTTGGTTCTGCCCTAACTTTGAAGAGACATCTCGGTTTTCCTGTTTTAAGACCTCATAGTTCACTGCAAGCTGTTCCGCATGCAGCTTTTGCTCCACTCTCTCTTTCTTGTAGACCTCTATTTCACCAGACAGATCTGAAATCTTCTGCTTTAGCAAGTCGACTTCCTCTTCAGCATTTTGACTGGCTTTTGCTATGCTGGAGAGTTCGGATATTTCTCCGTTTTTTTGCTCCAACATTTCATCAAGGTCTCTTACTGCAAGAACTAATTCAGAGTTGGAGTCTTCTGTCTTGTGCAGCTGCAACCGCAGAGTGCTATTCGAGTCTTTTTCGTGATCACGCTCTTTCCTAACTTCATGTAATAGAGCCCTTAAATTTTCAATTTCCATCTGCAACTGATTCGAAACGTCTGCATCAACATATTTCTTGAGCTTTTCACATTCTGTTTGAAGTGCATCTCTCTCCTCATTTAGGCTAACAACTTTTCTTGATAGGTCATGTCCCCTTTTGCTCTCCTTCACAACTTGCTTCCGAAGAGATTGCAACTCCAATTCTGAGACTTCTGCCTGCCTTTCGAGCATTGAAATTTCACTTCTCAGACTCTCAATGGATCTATCGGAAGCCTCTTGTGACCTGTCTCTTGGGAAGCTCTCCTCGGGGCTATTTCTCGAGTCAACCATACTTCCATCTGAAATAGAACCCATTGAGACCGTGTTTGATCTCCTATGGACTTGGTTTTCGGTTGGAGTGGCTTCTATTAATCTCTTCTCAGGCATCGAGCTTTGTCTGAGAGCGGTGTGGTCCTGACAAACAGTAGCATTCTCTAATCGAAGATCTCTGAAGCTGCCCATTTGTTCACCATATTGAGATGTAATTTGGTTGAAGTGTTCATCCTATCAAAAAAAAAATCAAGAATCATTTCATTACTATTTGCCCTTATTCGGATGATCCAAATGGCCGCTAAAAAGGCCATTTGACCTTTCAATTCGATAATTTCAGTTGGTATGGACAATGTTTGGTGTGAGACCTTACTTCCATAAAGATGCTATTTTGTGATATGGCCATTGGAGCTTCACTTTCTTCAACATGTCTGAAAATTCCCATAAACAAAAAAATAAATGCAATATTATTTTCATATTCTTTATATAAAGATGCCGAAATGAAAATGATTATTACCTTTGATCAACATTTCCCAGCATCCTCTGAACTGTGACCTGTCTAAACACATCTTCATCATATATAAGAAATCTTTTTTGGCATTCAAATTCTCCATATTTATATACATCACAATGACAAAATGCAGTTCTTTAAGAAAAAATTTCATTTTCGTAGACGTTATATATCATTCAAATTATCGGTTAATCTAGAGAATTAGAGCGAGAACTAACGTGTAAAATTGCACCGGAGATTGAATTCTCGAGGGGCAGAGAGACTATAAAAGGCTTAGATGTTTCTATGAAATCTGCAAAATTAATATAGGTCTCTCCCAGATAACCTGATTTTGATGATCCCTGCAAAATCAGCAAGCATTAGATGACCTCTACCGAAAACCAGTTCAATGAAGAGAGAAGAACTGAGAAAATTGTGAACATTTCTTACCCTTGAAACAATGAAATGGTAAAATTTTTCATTATATATTCCTGTTTTTTGCTCCTTAGTTAATTTCACTGTTTCATAGACTGGATTATCCCAAAAACAGGTTCCATTTACAACTGCAGCTTTCCCTAGTCTCACTGTTGGCTTCCCAACATCTGCTGGAACCAGGGACACCATCAAGGTAGTCTTTTTCGATTCCGGCACCTGAAAATAAAAATTGCCATACACAAAAACCAGGTGATACATATATAGATATAGATATAGATATATCATATTTATATAGATCTTGAATTACTTGATTAATTGCAGTGCATTAGTTATATGCTCTTTTTCACTCATTGTGTGTGAAGATCAACTCACTTGAATTGAATATCCAACTCTTCAAACAATAATTTAGTGCTGTTTGTTACCATTTTAAACAAAACTAAAGCACACCCTTTTGAATTCAAAAGCAGAATTAGTACCTGAGTTGCTTGGAACTGCAGTTTGAACACAGCTTTGATCTTGATCTTGTCACTTCTCCACCTTGATGACTTGAACATCTTTGCTCAGATTAATGCTTTGAATTCTTCAAAAATCCCAAATTTCACTCACCCAAAAGAGATTTGAAACAATGCTGAAACTTAAATTATGTTTTTTTAAAAAAAATTTAATTTATTAACATATATATTGTTTTAAAGCTAGAAGCAAGAAAAAGTGTTTTGCTATCCTTTACAAAAGATGACATGAAAGAAGTGAGCAGCCTGTCAGTTTCATCAAATTTGAGATGTAGTTGAAGAGAATCAGAGCTGTATAAAGTTAAAATAATTCTATAATAGATTATTACTATAAAGTATATTATAAAAAACAACTCTGAATCACATAAGATTTTCATGTTTGTTTGCATGTGTCACCAAGTTCAAAGCTTTAATTGAATGATGTAAAATAACTCTATTCCTTTACAATATATCTTTCTTAATTACTTTGAACTGCAAAGTAGGTCAACTTTTAATTTTATTCTCCTCAAAATTTCATAATGACTAGGGATACTTCAGTTAACTCACACAGGTGGTGTTGGGGAGGCCAATAGTAAGTTCAGATGTCTCATTCTCACGAACTGCAAAAATACTCAAACTTAGCGATTGCACATATTCAGAGTTTACACACGCGCAAACATGAAAAAAAAAAACCCTCACAGGTGATGTAGTGAATAAGTGGTCTCCTAAGGCGAATAGTAAGTTGAGATGTCTCATTTTCACAAGGTCCAAAAATATCCATATTTAAATGATACGTATGATTTATAAGTGATTGTAATATTCGAAATATATATGAGAGTGCCCAAAAAAAAAAAAAAATCTTGGGATAGGTGAGTTCCATGGTTCAATCTTTTGGTACACTGACCATGGTTCAGGGTTGTTGGTGCTGAACCTGTCGGCAGTTTTGGGGCTAACATTTATGGAATGTCATTGGCATTGGCAATTTTGGTTTAATGATTGGGCCAACATGGAAGGTTGTGAGTATATTGTAGGTGCAACCATTGATTGATGTGTTGGAATGCAATTAAGTGATGTGAAACAATGTGGACCAAACCCTTAGAGCTCCTTTAAATCTTATCCATGAACAAGTACAGTGTAATATACAGATAAGTTATGTCCATGATTGAGTCCCTTATTGGTATAACTATCCCTGGAAAATTGCTTTTCGAGTGGGTGGGAGCACGTGAAACCATGTGCGCTCTCTCTCTCTCTCTCTCTATGTGCGTATATATATATATCCATATATTATTTTTAATGGTACTTAAACATGCTATTTGTTCATATATTGACTTTGTTACTAGCTTTAACTACTACTTATGGATCTTGAAACCTCATATGGTTTAGAAACATTAAACAGAGAGAAAAGGAATTAATATTCTATAGGGTTTTACACTGAGGATGGCACGTGTTGTATTGCATTCAACAGTTTATATTACACGGATGGCACGTGTTGTACTGCATTCGACAGTCTATATTACACACATATTATTGGACGAATGTGTGAGTAATGAGGATCCGAATCCGAATGCAATGTTCTTCAGAGGAGGCGGACCAGAGAATGCGAAGTACCCAATTGGATGGAAACTTTTGATAAACATGGGATGATGGACATTTCTCCAATTTCTTGAGGGTACGTATGGTAATGCAACCATAAAGAATACGTGATTGGCTCGTGACCTTTTAGAGTGGTCGCGTATAGTCACGTGACTTCATCAATCCACATTTTCATGTCAGAATGACTTTCCAACTACAAATGTAGTGGACTGTGCCATGACTTCAATTCATTGAAGAAAAAGCATGAACTTTCTTTAAATTCTCACGAGGAAACACTGCACCAAAATTATACTTGCGCAATTACGAGCAATGTTACTTTTAAGAGACATTCTTAGTAATAAAAAAAAAAAAATAACCCCACTTGATTAAGGATTGTGATGGTGAGATTTGAGCCGAAACTCATTTTTTACATAGTCGCGATCCCGTTTAACATAGCAACTTTCTTTTTTGTCCAAAATCGTTTAACAAATGACCCTCTATCGTACATTCCTGGCCCCATCCTCACCTCTCGTCATCTCCTAGAGTTTAAATTCTTACTTCATTTGAATTCAAGCATTTATACTATTTACTTTATAAAGCCAAATACATTAATGTAATCTTGGTAAGCAAATAAATATACATAGTTAGCATATACTTGATAAACATCACATATTTACAAAGATGTAGCAATTGTACCAAACAATCTAAATAAAACATTTATAATTCAAGATATATTTCTTCAAACAAAAATGTGATGAGGATATAATTAGGCCATATATTAGCCAAAGGTATTTTAGTATATTTTTAGTAAAGTTAGGGGTATTATAGTTATTTCACAGCGTAAACGTGGTGGGAAGATGGGTGGGGAACCTTTTCCTGTCCTTACCCTACATTGTGTGGTTTTTTTCTCCCTTCCTCCAAAATCTGTTTGGCATTCCCAAAATCATTCCAAACGGAGACTCGACGGAACAAGTCATTTTATCGTTTTCACACTTTAGCAATAACTTGTAACGACCCGGTCATTTGCCTTCCTTTCCTTTTTCCTTAAATTTTACGAATGAATTTTTTTCGTTTAATTTTCTTTTCTGAGCTATGTTTCGTGTCGCTTAGTGTCATATCGAGTGCTCGGAATTGGTTTCTGAAACTCTTTCATGTGAATTGACAACTACCTTTGAGGACCGAGTCATTTTCGCATTTTCACTTTTCAAACACTATGCGTCTTTCGTTCTTTTTCCTGTTTCGTCTTTTTCCCTACTCTGTCTTTTCCCGTTTATCACATTGTTGGCATAACCTCACTTCTCATGCTCAGAGTTGGTTTTTGACTTCACGTGTCTTCATCTTGAGTGGTTTCCTCAAAATACGTATCTTTACTTTTGCAAGAAAGTACTCTGATTGCTCTCGGTGCCCATAGGGGCATGGATGCATAAATCTTTGGAATTAATTTCATTTCTTGGGGTGTTTTTCATAAATATCTTTTGAAGATATTTTATTTCAGGGGCATCTAAAAAAATATCTTTTGGAAGATATTTTCATTCTGGGGCAGTTTCGCGGTTAACCCTTTTTATAGGAGCCATTGTGCAATTAACGAAAGTTATTGCAAAATGTCTCGTCTGGAGCCTGAATCCTCGTACGGGATTCATTTTCACTTTTTGTTGACTTGTAAATTCATAGAATTCCGTTCTGGTCATTTTTTTCCAGTTTCAGAGTTTCTAGACCCGGTTGCCGCCGAACTTGTTCGGGGCATAACTTTCTGCTCGGGACTCAGTTTTTGACGCTGTTTCTTCCGTTATTCATATTTTCTTATTGTGAATCTTTTTTGTTCACGGAGTTTTGCCGTTTGAGCGTGTTTACTCCAATTTTACTTTTCCGGACCCTGCGAGGCCCATTCGGGGCACTTTTTGGATTTTCCTATAAAAGGGAAGTGAGATATTTCATTTTTGGCCATCTCCTTCCTTGATGCACGACCAGCAGCTCCCATGGCTTCCAAAAGGGGCTGCCACCCTTCTTCTTCCATTCAAACCCTCTTCCCTTTGTTAAAAAGTTGAAGTGCCTTTGCGTTTTGTATTCGTGTTGACTACGCGCTTCTTTTACCCTTATTAGAACCCATTTCTGACCAAATTTTGAGTTTGATTTTAAGTTCAAGTAGTGATTTTCATGGGGCTTCTTTGGGATTCTTGTTCACGGCGTTGTCCCCGACAAAACCCCGAAGTATTGTCGGATTTGGAGCCGTTTCGTTTTGATGACTTTTGAGATTTTCATCTCAAATTGAGGTAGGGGGTGTCTTAGGATTATATTTATGTTGTATTGATTGTTATATGAGCATATACAATTTGCAAGCATGTTTTGTTTAAGATTTAGAATTTAATTTAATTAATTACTATATTTAAGATTTAATTCATATGGCTTTGTGTATAACATAGAATTAAAATATGACATGCTAGGAAATTAAATTTTAGTATGTTGATTAACATATATTAAATTTGAGGCATTTGGATAAGAATTACAGAAATTATTTAATATTTATCTTTTGTGAAAGTTTAATTCACATGGTGATAACAAGCATGAAATCATGATATAATGTGACATTTGGATAGGCCTTGGCATGTTCTCTAACATAGATTAAATTGAGGGCATTTGGAATTGTTTAAAAATCTAGAGAAAATAAATTAATTAGCTTGATTAATTTTGTTTTAAGTGTTTTAATCACTTAACTTGTCATTTGATGTTATATATGTGATGATCATGACATGTCCTTTAATATATATTAAATTGAGGTTATTTGGGATTAACTTAGAATTTAGTGAATTTAACTATTTATGTTTAATTAAATTCTACTTTATTACTCCATGGATTTAATTGCATTTTGGAAGTTGTTTCTATATTTAAATCATGGATTTGAATTCGGTGTATGTTTACTTGATTACTTTTGAGCATTGGATAAGAATATGTTTTCCTTATTGGATATATTGTTGCTATGTGTAAAGAATTGCGCACCTTGTATTTAACATCTTTCATGCCATAGTAGTTATAGACTTTGAGCATGCATTGTATATGTTTCCAAAATTAGATTGTGCTTGGTAAATAGTTGATATCTTGTATATACATATTAATATATATACGTTGTTGCACAATTTGTTGATTTTGAAAACTTGGGGATGTCGTTATTTGGCTACGGCTAGGACTTGGTTCTAGTACGGGGGATTGTCCCTCTATATAGTCTAGTGCGCACATAGGGAGGTTACCCATGGGCTAGTAACCCTAAAGTAACTATGCTGTCGGTCTGATTCGGCATAACGTCCGAGTATCCACTTTGTTTGATTTCGTATTTCATTTCAAGTTGATAACTAGATGATATCGTAACTTGTTATTCTTTGTTTGATTTCCCATTTTATGTTGTAAGATGTTAACTTTGAGAAATCATACTTTAAGCGTTGTATTGGAAGTTCCAATGTTGGTTAAATTGCATCGATATCATAATTTGTGTTTTGATGTTCAAATGTAGTTTAGGAATAATCCTATAGATTCACTTTGAACATAGACGTTAGATGGCATGACCCCTCTTGTTGTTTTCGTATCTTAGATTTCAAGTTGAAGACTTTGAAAATCTATATCTTGTTGATTTTTATAACATGTTTCCATATTGTTTGAATTGCATGAACAATGTGATTATGCTAGAAATGTTTTAAGGTAGCTTATGATGCTTCCTAAGTCTCATTTTGACATAGACGTTAGGTGACATGAACCTTTTTGATATGTTTCACCTTAAGGTGATAAAATTGTAAAATGCTAGGTCGATGCATGCTCATCTCCTACGAGTAGCT